ATTGGCTGAGAGGAGACAGGTAAAGAAAAGTCTGTCTGTGATTGGCTGAGAGGAGACAGGTAAAGAAAAGTCTGTCTGTGATTGGCTGAGAGGAGCGGAGGCTGACGTGGTCTCTGCTGGTGATCGTCCACCTCAAGGTCGGACGTGTTCGTTCGGAGACACTTCTCTGCTCAGCAGGTTCTATGAGTGACCATGGAACACAGGAGTGTGACGTGAGGTCAAGGAAACATGTGAAGGAGATGACTTAAGGAGTTAGGAAAGGAGTTAGGACAGAAGAACCACTGTGCGGAGGAAATCTGACTTTACTCATAAAATGTACCATACTTACCGTTTCCTGTGTGGAAGTAAAATAACAGTGTGAGGAATATACGAGGAGAAAGAAATGATGGAGTCCCTTCTTCATGTTTGTTGTTGACAGATGTGACGAGAGAAGAAATGAGACGATCATGTGATGATTCACATTTGGATCAGGAGAATAAAACAGCTGTTCTGTTTTTTATATTTACATGGGTGTGTCCCTTTTAATGTTGCCGCCACAAAGAATTGTGGGACGGCGTTTTCACCTTTCCTTTGATGAAGGATGGTCCGATGTTTCCTCTGCTAAAGTGGAACTTTCTATCTGAACACACCCAGTGTCTCACCCGAGCTCCTGAGCAGTTTATCCGGCGGAGCCCTGAGGATCGTCTCCAGAGGAACAGGAGGAACCTGAACACACACCTGACTGTAGCCCCGCCCACTCACAGTCAGCACACCTGGCCTGAAACACACACAGAGATAACTGTAGCCCCGCCTACCAGCAAAGATCAAACCCTATGATTGGATGATCCTTTCACTCTCATATTAATTGACAGGTCTGTTGATGCTGGGGTTAAACAGTAACAACTTAATTTAAGATATTCCTGTTATAGATCTAAACACAAAAATCACTGCATCTTTTACTCTTGTAATGTTTTTGTGTTGTTAGTTATGTAGTGAATGTTGCTTTAGAATTAAACAAATGAATCACGTTGTGCCAGCGACATCAGAAACATTAATAATGAAAATGACCGTTCGTCAGTTAGTTCATTATTTTTCTTTTAAAAGTGAATGTTTATGAAAAAAGGGTTTTCCAAACTATTGTGATCATCAATCATCTGTACCTGTAAAAGCGGCGTACGGCCGTGTGGGGCAGGCAGGGGTAACAGGGGCTGTAGATGCCGTTGGTGTCTGTACCGAGCTCTGCAGAGCAGCGACCACAGCCAGTGTAGGTGACGTCGCCACTCAAGGCCTCCAGGATAACGTCCAATGGTGTGGAGCCGTCCAGGACCGGCTGATGTGCATTCTGGGAGGATGGAGCGTCCTGGAAGTGGAAGGCGGTGACGTGGACTCTGAGCTCCACATCACCTGGAGGTGTTGAATATGAGACACGAGATAAAATAACAAAATCTTTCTTTTTACTTTTCAAACTAATTAATGTTTTACAGAGAATAAAGATTAGAGAAAGATTTACAATCCATCAATTTCAATTCAATTCAATGCAAATGCACAAGTTTTTCTTGACACTGGAACTGTGAACTTTATAAAAGTTACGAATATGTTTTTTGTTTTACAGTGACATCACTGTTAACCTCACCGCTGTATTTCTGAGACAGCAGCGTCTCGAGGTCCAGCTCCAGACTGCAGCTGTTTCCTCTGTGGTTGCATCGAGGTGTGAGGAAGTGCTGCGCCCGCCGGTCGGTGGGGTCCAGGGGCCGGATGGAGCTCCAGGGGGTGGAGTGCAGCTCAGGGACGTTGGAGGTCAAACCCTCCCTCACCAGGAGGGTGTGGAAATCCCACACAACCGCTAAGATACACATGTTTGTTTAATTCGTGTGAACTGTCCCTTTGTCCAGTGTGTGTGTGTCTGTGTGTGTGTACCTCTGTCTCTGTTGAAGCGAGGCAGCCAGTCCACAGCAGCTCCCCACAGCAGCAGCGTCCCCTGGTGGCCGTCCGGCTGCTCCACAGTCAGAACAGCTTTCAACTGAACTGCTGACCTCCAGCAAGAGTCTGCCTCAGTCCGCCACTCTGACACACACACACACACACACACACACACACACTGTAATGAGTTATGTTGAAGAGACTCCCCATAATGAGACAGTGTGACAAGGTTTTGGTCCCCACAACATCAGTAATATCTGGAGCACACCTGAGCTGATGTGTGTGCATGTGACGCGCAGCAGGGCGTGGACCAGCGTGTTGACTCTCAGTGACCTCAGGGTGGCGTATGGGAGGCGGTTCAGGTCCTGAGGGGCGTGGTGAGGCAGAGACAGCAGCAGAGGGCGTCGCTCTCGAAGGTATCCACACAGAGAGCTGAGAGAGCGAGCGTCGACATGCTGCAGAGCTGGGGGGGGGGGGGGGGGGGGGGGGGGGGGGGGGGGGGCAGCTAATGATGCTTCAGCTGAGGAGGCTGATGATTGGTTGCAAGGTGGGTTGAGTCATACCTGGTGGTGAGGTGGAGGTGGTGATTTGTCCGAGGTTGAGCAGCTTACTGCAGAAGGTGGACTGCAGCACCGTCTCTCCTCGCCACTTGTCTTCATTCACTTGGAGTCCTGAGACAAAGTCACAATTAATGAGGACGTCTGTCCATCATCAGGGTTCAAAGTCAATCAGTCTGCTGTATTTTTCTACCTGTGATGAGCAGAATGTCTCCAGGACTCACAGTCAAAGCCCAGAACGCCGCCCGGCGCCACAGGACCACCTTCATCTCAATACCTGACTGGTCCGTCACCACGATGGACGCCAGAGGGACAAAAGAACCCGCTGATGGTCCCGACTTAACCTTTAAAACAAAGTCACAGAAATAATCTAAAATGTGAGAAATGAAACTGTAAATCATCGACTGTTTATGAGAGAACTTATCGCTACCTCTCACCTTGACCTCCTTCAGGTGACAGGGATGAACCACTGCCACCAGGACCGAGTACCGCACCCCCGGTTTGCGACACCAGACCAGGGTTGTGGTGGGACCTTGGAGCCCGGCTGTGGTGCGGCCCGATGTCCCCTCGGTACCAGCTGACTCTCTGGAGAGTCGAGCTTTCTTGAATTTGGGGGACTGGGCAGGGGAGTCATGAGTGGTTGAGGGCACAGCCTCCTGAGAGCACAGCACGCAGTCTGCGTTGACCTGGAGGACGACGCCCCCCTCCTCCACTCTCGGGGTTGAGCAGAGTTGACTGAAGAGCTCAGCAGAGGCTCCAGGTGACGAGGGCACCGGGCTGAAGAGCTCCGGCGTGCTGGAGGAAACGGACGGGGACACTTGGGTGTGTTTGGGCGTGGTTTGTGGAGACAGGTTTTTGTCAGGGCTGCTTGCTGATTGGGTGCTGCGCCTGCCTCTCAGGATTACAGCCTGACTCAGTGTCCAGGTAGTGAGGTACTGAGTGTTGGTGCACAGCGGCTGGTACGTACATTGATGTGGAGGTTCAGGTTCTCGTGGATCTGGTTGAGCTGCAGGGAAACAGTTGTCCAGATACTCAAGAACTGAGGCCGAGCATCGATCTTCCTCTTCAAAATCAGATTCGTCATCTCGGCTCAGAAATCTTGCTGCAGGTTGGTGATCATCGGAGCACAGATTCTTCTGGTCTGTTTTCAAGTCGCAGCTTATTCGTGCTCCTTCTTCCCGTCCTCCCAACGTCTCTGTGGTCCAACCCGCTTCAGTTGAAGCGTCATCCTGGTCAGTATTTGATCGATCATCGGGGACTTGTGAACTCTGCGTAGATCGATCAGCATCTACATCGTCCCTTCTGCTTCCTGCTGCCTCTGAAAGTTTTGTAAATTTGTATTTATTAGTTTGGTTGGGTGAGAAGACAGTGTTGTTGATGCTGACGTGTTCTCAACTACATATTTACAGGTAGGTGTTTCTCTTCTTGATGGGTCCATGAACGTCTCACCTGTTACAGGCCTCAGACGTCCGTCTGTCCAGGTGAGCTCCAGGTGGCTCCACCCAGCAGGGGGCTGATCCTGAGTCTCGTCACCAGCTTCAGACACAGAGGAGGGGGGAGGAGGAGCCCCGAGGAAGATGTGGATCTTGGACCTCTCACACATGCTGAGACGATAAACGTTTATTCACATGCTCGTTTATTATCTTCGTTATATTAAGAGTTTTCATTTCATTGATTTGTTTTTGAGTTGTGCCGTAAAACGTGAAAATGTTCTGAGCCGCATTTTTGAAAAATTCACTCCCTGGTTGCCGTGGTGATGTCCTCACACATCTTTCTGGAATTCAAATAGAGCTGCAGCCAAACATCAGTTATTTGATTAGTTATTATATGGGAGTTTTTTTTCATAATCAATTATTTGTTTTAACAATTTTTTAGGAAACATGAACTTTGTCTACTTTTAACTGCTTGATTTTTTGTCTGGTTTCCATCTGCTAACATGGAGGAGGAGGATTTATGACCTATACTGCAGCCAGACACCAGGGGGCAATTGAGATGACCACCTTTATTTACAGACCATCTTTACATTTACCCTAACGTCTCGTGTTGTCGCCGCCTCTTCTCTGCTTCCTGCCACCTGCTGCTATCAGTCAACTCGCCGAGACGAGCACTGCTCCGTTCAGCAGGACGTCGTGTTCCCGCCTCCACAAACCTGCAAGACAGTTTCATTCAGGTCCAGTTTAACTTCCACCACCAGCTCCACGTCAGTCAGCTCAACCTGCAGACGACCACGGAGACGCTGTCTGATCCTGTGTTTCTTCATTGATGAAACCTGCAGACTCTACATTACTAATGCTGTGTGAGGAACCAACTGCAGAGCAACAAGACATTTAACCTGCTGCAACTAGCGCCCCCTGGAGGGTGCAGTGCTCATCACCGCCACAAAACAAAAAGCAAACATGTCAGATTTCCAGTGTCTGGTGGTTAAATATGAGACAGTGATTTAACAAGGTTACGACTCACAAAAAGAACATCATGTTGAGTTATTTTAGTTATTCGTTATATTATCTATCTCTATTCTTCTTATATGTCTGTGTGATGTTAGTGACAGATATTTGGATGAAGACTAAAAAACTGTTAAAAGGACCAGTGAATAATCTAATTAGTTCATTTGAAATAAAGGTGTTAATAC